GTGGGGACTATTTTTATTTTCTGGGGGATAGAGTCGATGAAGGGTTGTCACCGTTATATGACCCATGAAGTTTAGGCAAACTTAGATTTCTTCTTGCAACTATTATTGATGATGAGGGTACTACAATTCGGGGCATATTTCCTAAGGTAGTTTGTGAGTATATAGATGTTTTTCCTGAGGATCTCACCGCATTACCGCCTCATCAAGAGGTAAAATTCTCTATAGATTTGGTGCTTGGCACGACACCTATTTCCATGTCGCCATATAGATTTTCCCTACCAGAACTACTTGTTCTAAAGGAGCAATTATAAGAATTGTTAGACAAGGGTTTTATACGCCCTAGTACCTCGCTATGGGGAGCACTGACTCTTTTTTCCAAGAAAAATGATGGTTCGTTGTGGTTATGCATCGACTACCGCAAGCTAAATATGGTTACGGTTAAAAATAAATATCTGTTGCTTAGGATACGTGATCTTTTCGACCAACTTAAGGGTTTTTGATGTTTCTCAAAGATAGACCTAAGATTGGGTTATCATCAGTTGCGTATGAAAAAAGAAGATATTCCGAAGACAGCTTTTCGTACTCAGTATGGCCACTATGAATTCCTCGTGATGCCATTTGGTTTAACTAATGCCCTTGCCACCTTTATGGACTTAATGAACCGAGTCTTTTGAGATTATCTCGATAAATTCGTGGTGGTGTTTGTGGATGATATTCTTATCTACTCACCTTCTGAGGAAGTGTATGAAGAGCACCTCCGCATTGTCTTGCAATTGCTTAGGGAACACCGATTGTATGCTAAGTATGAGAAATGTAAGTTTTGACTTTCCGAGGTAAAGTTTTTGGGTCGCTTTAATTAAAATGTGTGATTAAAAAATATATATATAATCACACTTACTTAAAAAGTGTGATTAAAAAGTAGTAGTGTATATATAATCACACTTTTAATTAGAAGGTGTGATTAAAAAATATATATATAATCACACTTAATTGAAAAGTGACATAAAAAATAAATATTATCACACTCAATCAAATTAAGTGTGATTAAAACATCAATCTAATTTTTTTTATCACACTTCCAATAAAAGTGAGATCTTTTTTTTTGTCAAAGTGTGATCTTTAACTATTTTTGTAGTAGTGCATACTGAACCTTTTCGGGGCCTCGAATCTATCCAACTCTACCGAGAATGGTGTTCTCGGCTTAACCGGGGAGGCTACCTCGGCATTTTGTTGCTTCCTCTGGAGGTAATCCCTCAGATCCTCCTTGGTCTGTCCTGGAGCTCGGCTGTGTCCGGATTTCAGCCTTTTCAGCGCGCTACTTCCGATGTCATTATTAGTCCTCTTGGACCTCTCCCCGTTAGTTGCATCGAAACAGAGTTCCTTCCCTTGAACATGTCGATGTTCTTTGGGGTCAGTTTCTTTGGTACGATGAGTCCTTCGTGAATTTTCCGTCATTGACTCTCCTCGCCCGACCTCCCTTGAAGGCCGGTGAGAGTGTTTCTTGGTCCTGGTGTGCTAGGGGGCTACAGGGACTGTTTTCTGCCCTCTCTTCTGGGCATTGTTCTTGGCCACTGGAATTGGCGTGTCTTGCAGCGGGAACGGTGGCTGGATGACATTGTTTTACATCATGGAATTGATGACCGTTTGCAGGTCTGTCAATTTGTCCGCCATCCTATTCATCTCTTTGTCCCTCCGCAGGCATCTATCTTTGCACACCTGGAGGTCGTCCTCGTTGTAGTACCCGCTTCGATCCGATTTCTTTGGTACGTCGCCCTCTTGGACAACGTCTTTCTATTTGTTTCTCTGATCTTGAGTTTCCACGTTGCAATTATCTTCTTCGACGTCAAGGTCAATATGTTTTCCACTCTCAGTAGGGGTATCGACCCCAACCTTCTCTTTCTGTCTGTCGTTGGCTATCTATTCCCCTTTCGTTCCCATAGACGGCGTCAAATTGTGTGTGTCAATTTCTAACCACACTGCCAAACAGGTACCCAACTGGAGAGCATTGACAAAATAGATTAAGCTCAAACAACCTGTCATAAAAAGAAGAGATTCCGGCAGTGGTTCGTCTACCCGGGGGCACTCCGACGATCAAGTCAGTTATCTCTCAAAGATAACAAAAGTGCTTAACGCACTATTCAGAGCATAAAAATCATGCCTTAGACCCACGGGGGTGCCTCTCTTTTATAGCCAACACTTACCTAATCCCAATAGAAGCCTAGCTTCAATGGACTTAGGATTACTGCTAATCTTGGACTCCCAGTAGGATTGGTATAAACTCTTAGAGTCTTATCTTTATCCAAACTGAAGTCTTCTCCCATTCTAGGACTCTTGTCTCTTATCCGCTTATCCCGGATTCTGATTTTTTCGCAGATAATCTCGGCCTAGCCGAGATCATCTCGGCGTCATAACTAGGACACGTGGCACCTCGGCTGGCACTTCAGTGACACCTCGGCCACGTGTTGTCATTCAAAAATTATGTCCACACAGTTGGCATGATGAGATTTGACTTATAAAATAAATGAAGAACATGGTCACACCAAAATTTTGGGTGTTTGGCAACTTGGTAAAGGCTTGGGGGTTAAGACCCTAGGTCCCAAGTTCAAAACCCCTTGGGCCAATCTCCTGAGTGTAGGGCAGTTGGAGGTTAGCCTCAAGTTGTTGCTACCACAACACTTGGTGTGGGCCCAATGCTTCCCCGATGTTCAAATCTTGATTTAAGCGGAGCTTGTCTTGGGAGGTTGGGGCAAGTTTCCAGGTTATAGTCTCCTATCTCAAAATGGACAACAGGACACCTTGGTGATCTCTGTAAGGGGCGCTGTCTTGAACCTGCAAGAGAGTGGGAAGATTTTCCTGAAAAAAAAAAAAAAAAATTTTGCTATTTGATTTCTTTCATCAACCTGTTAAACTAAAAAATGAAATCTACATGGATCTTGTTAGGGGAGGGATATTCTAACAAAGAGGATATCCCCCAAAATTCCTGTTTGTTTTCTCAAGCTTTCCCCCCACTTACATGATGTAGTAAAACGATAAATTTTAATTTGAAATATGTCACATTGTGCAATGGTGAAAATGAATTTATTCTAAAGTATTAACATGGTCATATCATAAATAAATTTCTATAATTGATTTGTATAATTAATTAAGATGGCTTAAATAAGAGGGACGTGATATTTTTTTATTTTTTATTATTTTTTTTAATTTTAAAAAAGTAGTGATCCTGTGCGAATGCATATATGTAACAAATTAAACGCACTATTTATTTAGATAGAAACAGTTTTCTAACCAAAAGTATTTTTTCAGATACTATTTTCTTTTTAGATGTTTTTGGTAAGGAGGAGGATTCTCTCCGGTTTAAATTTTAGATTGGAGGGTGCTATTTGGATTTGTGAGACTCATCTCGGGTCCTGTTTCGACGATCTGAACCGTTCATTTTTTCAGGCACTTGCATCTACAAAACAATTAGATCGATCCGATAATTATAATTTGTTCAATTTATTATATTTTTCACTAAAAAAATGTATAATTTATTTTAAAAAACACAATTGTTATATATTTTTTTAGTGAAAAATTGAACAAGTTAATCGAATTATTATTATTTTTTTAATGAAATACACGAAGTGTCCGACAAAATGAACAGTTTGAATTATTGATACGGGACCTGTGATAGGTCTCATGGGTCCAAAAAGCACCCTCCAATCCAAAATCTAGACTGAAGAGATTCCTCCTAGAAAGTTTTAATATTCATGTGGTGGCCAATGAGAATGGATGTTTTTGCAATTTTACCCGATAAAAGATGCTATTACAAAAGTTATGGCGGGGACTAGATTTCCCATTGCACTTCCCATTGAAGATGAAGCCATGTACAATCCCTCAAAGTAGATGTTCTGGTTGATTGTAACACTGTCAAAATAAATAAATAGATAAAACATGAGTACTAAACCTTAACATAATTAAAATGGAACAAAAAAAATAAAATAAAAATAACTTCATATGAAAATTTACCCAACAAGAGAAGCCAAAAATATCAAGGAAAAGCTCTTCAACCCCAAACATGACCTACTAGTTTTTCTCCTGCACCAAGAAAACAAGGGTTATGTTAACAGAAGTCTAATGGAAGAGAAAAATTACCAAAAAAGTAGTTGTTTATATCCCAAAACACTTCCATATATTTGCAAAGATAAATTACACTTGTAGTCTATATAAGTTATTTTTCATGTCAATTTGGTTGTTGTAACTTCAATGGTAACAGTTTTGCCCTTTAATTTTTTACAGTGTCAATTTAATCTGATTGATAATATTTATTAGAAAATTGAACAATTATCAAAGACAAAATGATAAATCAAAAGGGAATGAATCATTTTAAATTTTATGTTAACAACAGGAGCTTCTATTTTCACATAATTTCCTCTCGGTGCATTTTATTTTATTTTTTGTTTGGAAATCAATTTCTGAATAAAACTATTTGGCCCTGTTTGTTTGGGATTATACGGAGGGGATTGGGTTTGATAGTAAGGAGGGGATTGAGAATTTGGATAAAAAATCAACTTCTGAATAAAATGATTTGATTGGGCTGTATGTTTGTTTCAGAAGTAGATTTTTGAAATGAGATAATATAATATGTAGAAGGAAAAATTTCTGTTAACCCCTCAATCACTTTATAGAGAATGAATAAACTATTTTGCTCTTTAATTTCAGTTCAATTTTTAAAATATGCTTTTTGCAATTGGACTAATGTCAACTCTATGAACGATAATTAGCAGTTAGAGAGAGAGAGAGAGAGAGAGATATGATGATGATGCTGATGATGATGTAACACAGACCTTGTGAAATAAGCTAGAGGAGCAATGGCCAAAGTAGCAATGGCTTGCCTGTAGACAACAAAAATCCTAGGGCTCATTCCTTGCAAGAGAGCAGCCGTGGTTGAGAGAGTAAGCAATGCATAACCGACTTGCAATCCAAACATAGCCAGTGCTGGCATGTAATCATCTAACCCACCCATATTATGATTTGCTTTTTCCCAAAGAAAAATATGACCAATGTGCCAAATAAGTACTGTTGCACTACCATCCCAACTTGCCTTTATATATAGATCTCCAAATCCACACAATTCATTTGTGTAAAATATGAAATTTTTTACGAGCAACAGTACATTAAAAAAAAAAGGCCAAATGAGTTGTAACAGAGTGGAATATGGTATTTAACACCCACAGAAAGAAGCATCTTGGAGTGAGTGGATGTATGTTACCTGAGGAAGGGTTGTTTGTAATGAATGCTGACTGACAGCCACATGACACTTATCACAAATTAAGGGATAAAATAATTCAAAAAAATTATCAGACGTGTCATTGGCCTGGCCCCATCTTAGCGTCTTTCTTGATTTTTTTACATTAATATTTTACAACTTTGGTAGAGACCCCTCAATCACCAACCCTCATCACTCCCACACACACGTGGGGTTGGTGATTGGAAGAAGAGATTTAATAAAAAAAAAAAAGGAATCTGGCCAATCATAGGCCAAGGGGGTCATGGGGGTCACTATTTAGAGGGGGTTCGGAACATTTTTGAATATTTTATTTAATAGGTCTCAAAAAATATTAATAATTCGGATCATTAAGATAGGCCTTAAAATAGGTTCACAAAGCCTAATAGTATCTCTTTGATTATCCAAGTTGAGAGCATCCAAACCCAAAAAAGAAATGTCTGATCAAATTTATTTTTAGTGTGACCGACCTATTAAATTAAGCTTGAATTTACATTATATATTTTATTTTTGAGTAAATTATATCATTGGTCATTTTAATTTGAGCCAAATTTCACTTTAATTTTCATAGTATAAATTTTATCAATTTAAATCTCATACTTCTAATTCCGTTATAATATTCCTTCATTTATTATTAACATTTTAGATAGTAAAACAATAGTTGTGAAATTGGAGGGATCAAAATATTCTCACATCCCTGTTCAAAAAAAAATATTCTCACATAAGTTGAATGTGCTTTTTTTTTTTTTGTCCAAACTAGTGATGGCAATTGACAGGAGAGATCATATTGAACAGATTTCAAAATGTGATGTATAAATTGATGAAATTAAAAATACAGTAACCAACGTGAACTTTGGTTGAAATTAAAAAAAAAAAAAATTGTATAATTTGCCCCTTCTATTTTTATTTATTTATTTATTTATTTATTTTTTAATTTTTTGAAGTACTTTTTAGTAAACTAGTTATTATTATTACTGGTTGCCCAACTTTTTTCAATATGGAAGCCCAAATAAGCATGGCTAGGACACCTTATGCCAATAGTAGTATGCCAGTGCACCATGGTTTTTATTACTATTGGCTAGTTACATGTTAAAAGCACGGCCCTGTCACCAGCAAGCCTCTTCTTCAAAGTACATTATTAGCGTCGTAGACGTGTTGTGTTTGTCAACCTGGCACTGATAGATCGCTGAGCTGGAGGATAGCTACTAATATTAGATTTTAGGGTTAGAATGAATGTTTTCAAATTGATTTTGAATATTCACTTTAAAATCAATTATTGTTTATAATTTAATGAACCTTGAAAACGATGATCTTAATGGAGACAAGGTTTAAGACGGACGCGTGTTTTATGAGGACATCAATTTTGTATCACACTTGAAGGTTTTTTTTTTTTTTTTGGGTTAGTATAATGCTGCCATTGACAAGGATATGCTTTATCAATTTGGCATCCCTTCATATTTATGAGGGGACATGGTATCAGGTTTAACGATTAATCCCTTTTGTTGATAAGAACACATCAGAAAAATTATCAAAAAATTGGTAGGCAAAGTTACTAGTTGTAACCAACCATATGTGACATTTGGACAAATAAATGAATAGATAAGTGACACGTATATATATAGTTGACATTTAGATGGATAGATAAGTATGATTTTTACAAATAGGTGTCATTTTGGACAAGTAAATGTCTTTTTGGACCCAAAAGATTAAAGCTTGGACATATTGATTCAAAAGTTTAGAAAATTGACCTATAGCCTAAGTGCTCGAAAATAAAACCTAAAACACAACTTGCATAAGATATCAAGAGGTCTTTTTTTTTCTTTTTTCTTTTTCCAGTTTTTGGGTACTTTTTTGGGAAAAATTACAAAAATCCTAGAGTTTGACCTTTGTATTAAAATAAACTCTAAATTTTTAATTTTATCAATTTAAATTTTAACCTTTTGATTTGTTTTCAATATAAACAACTAGCTTATTTCCATTGAATAAAACCAACCAAAAATAATAATATTTAAGTTATTAACTCAGTGTAGGTATACATAAAATGTCTAAAATTTAATTTTTATTGAGTTTAATAATTAAAATACATTTTTTCTCTTGATTTTACTTAACGAAAATAGGTAAATAGTTTACATTGAAACAAATAAAAAATTTAAGATTTGAAGTGACAAAATAAAAAATTCAGAATTTGTTTTGTTACAAAGCTCAATCCCTAAGATTTTGTTTAATAATTTTTTCATTTTTTTAATTTTAATTCAACTGCTTTAGTGATATAATTTTATATTTATTATAACTCTTGCAGTTTTGCCCTATCTACTCCTATAATTGACCTATCCTATCAATACTCTTCCAAACCATTTTCATTAGAATCAAGTTAGACAAAATACAATAGGAACGGATAATTTTTTCATCAAGTAACCTTCCATATTTTTCGGAATTCAACATTTGAGCCTCTATTACATGTATCAATGCATCAACTTACAACCACATAATTTCATGATGGCCACATATATATGAGTTAATTGATGAGAAGTTCAATTTGAAGAGGGTATAAGATATTAGGTTTGTTGTTGTTGTTGTTGTTGGTTTTCTTTTTTTTTTAAAGAAATATATTCTTTGTGAAATATTATGGTAAGAAGTATATTTTATTATTTTGAAAGACATTTTGTTTTCAGTTTTACCCTTTTAGTTTTTATTAACACCTATCTATTGAAATTTTTATTGTACATGTTGAAATTCTATCTGTGTAAAATTTCTATCTATTGAAATTTTATCTATGTGAATTTCTATATGTTGAAATTCTGGTCCTAATTTTTATCTATCCAATCTTTTATCTGTACAAAGTTTATTTGTTCAATATTTTTATCTATACAAAATTTCTATCAAAATTTTATTTGTCCAAACCACCAAGCTTCTTTTTCATATTTGTTGAAATTTTCCACACCTATTTTTCTTATTTTTAACCTATCTATTGAACACAAAACCAGAAAACAGTATTATTTGTTGAAACCCTAAACCCTAATTCTCGTCACCTCTCCATATCGGTGTCACTACCCTCCTCAATGGCCTCTAAGTTGCCACTGAGTCAACCTTCGCCGCCAAGACCGCCACCATTAGAAGAGAGAGTCCTCTTGCTATTACAGATGAAATAGAACCAATAAAGAGAGAAAGAGAGACTCACTCCCTTTAAAACTCTCAAAAAAAGCAGCAACCTTCAATGCCATTGACGTAACTTTGAGTCCTTTTCCTCCGATCTCCGTCAACAGTCTCAAATCTGTATCAATAGCCTCTGGTCTACATCACTGTGAAGAGATCAGCTTCGTCTGATGTTGTTTTTGTTGCTATTTTTCCTTAATAATAGAAGAAAAATATATATAATAAATTAAATAGAAATGACAAAACAATTATTATTATTATTATTATTATTATTATTATTATTATTATTATTATTATTATTATTATTATTATTTATTATTATTATTATTAATAAATCAATCAATTATTTTTTTTTTTTTTCTTTTCTCCTTTCTCCTCTCTCATTCTTTCATGTTTTACAATTAATCAATCAAATTTTTGTCATGACTATCTATTCAATTAAATAAAAATTACAAATCATTCAAAAATTATTTTCAAAACTCTTTTTAATAATTTATCTTTCAAAACATAACTCAAAACTTAAAATTAATTTCAAAAATTAAATCAAAGCTTTCTCAATTTTTACTAGTCATGAAGGCTAACCAACCTTTGTAATCATTTCAACTTGAATAATTTTACAATAGTGATACATTCTCTTAAAAATAAGACTCTAAATAAAGCTCTATATTAAAAAAAATAAAATAAAAAAAAGGACAGAAAAAAAAACACACAAATATCACTATAGGAGTGAAGCGTTACCTCAGTCAACCCCCCAAGAATTATTATCATGGAAGTAGTACTGCTAAATAAATTATTTTGTTTCGGTGCAAATGTTTAGTACAATGGAGAAGAATATGCTCGTTTGAAAGTTCAGAACACACAAGAAAAATAAATTATCTTTTTCTGGATTGGCTTG